AAATATATATGGACAGGCACAGTAATAGGGGGGCCCTTAATATGGCCATCGCGCCATGGAGGGGCACATTAATAGGGACAAAAACATTGTTTTTATTTTTATTAAAATATATTAAAATATTAATATTTTTTACATAAAAAAATTTCATAAGAAAAGAAATATTTGAAAAATCGATAGTAACTTTAAACAGACAAATTGAAAGCTACAGTATTTAGTAATTAATTCAGTAATAAACAAATTTTCTTAAAGGCACACTAATAGGGACACTTACCCTATACACACACATATACATGTATATATACAACTAATCAATAATTAATAAATTACTAAATACTTACATTCGCTCTTTCTGCTGCATTCGCTGACAAGACTATCATCACTATCATTTAAAAGTGGAACGTTTAATAACTCCTTTTCTATGTCACAGTCAGTTTTAAAAGCTTTGAGTTTATATTTCTTTGTGTCAGAAAGTGATCTTGCTTTACCGTGATCACTTTCAGTAGAATACGCATATTCTTTTGTTCCTAATTCTTTTAATTTAATCGTGGCCGATTCGTAAGTTTCTACAAACAAATTAATATTCGAAGTTGACAAATATAAACTGACATGATAAAACGAATCATTTGTTAAAATAATTAATTGATATTATACACATTATTAATTGATACTACATTGTACACAAAAATTTCGACTAAAATTCGTAATTGCAAAATATTAAATTTAAATTTATCACTGGCCTTTTCTGTCTTAAATTCTAATTATATATAATAGAAAAAATTTAACAATAACTTACTGGCATCACCTAAAATTTTTATTTCATAGGATGGCCACGATTTGGATGGTTCTGCCCTACTTTTAACAAGAGAGTATAACAACTCTACTGTTTCAGTTGTGTATGGCGGTGGCATAAAAATTGTCTTTAATTTGCCACTTGTATTATCATACATGATCCAGTCACACGGTACAATATCCACACTTCGATCTTTCTTATCTTTTGCTAGAAATTGTATAATTTTATAAAATTTTCCGGACTTTTCCATATTCTACAAAATAAATGTTATTATATTAATGAAGGAAGACAGTGAACATATTGCAATAATTAAATAATCCAGATAATCGACATTCTTATTATTTACGAAAAAGTATTAAATTGAGAAAACTAAGAAAATATTAGCAAAATGGGAGGGAGAGAGAGAGAGAGAGACTGCGTTTCATGCATAATGTGCATGATGTATCATTTTAGCCTTGTTTAACGGTGTAGAAGAATAAAATGACATCATGCATGAAACGGAACGCAACCAAATTGTTTTGCAAACTCAAAGTCTTAGGTGACACAAAAATATCAGGATGCAACTATAAAGACTCGAACCTAGATTTTTTTTCCCTTTTCTAATACTAATGTACTGAGAATAGTCATTGCTCATAAGTGGCAGAGTGACTGCCACTTATAAGCCATATAACTATTCTTACTGCATATCTTACTATAACGTGTCTTTATAAAATGTATTTACTTGCACTGTTTGTTTCCTTCGTTTTACAAAATTTAGAGGTTAATTAATGAAGGTTAGGAAATTACAAAGCAAGTTAAAATCACAATAAGTGTGGAAGAATCATAGAAAATGTATAGAATATGTACCGTTTGAGAATTTTTTTCTTTCCAAGCACAATATTTGCTGATGCCACGATTAGTGGAAAATTAATGATGTTCTTTTTAACTGTTCTTGGCTGAAGTCGCGTGTTCCCGTAAAGCACTGTGAACTGTGAAAGATAAAGGAAGAAGAGCATATATATATATATATATATATATATGCACGTACACGTGATATATGCGTATGCTCTGTGCCGCGGTTGGCGGTAAGCGCCGATAAGTTCGAAAATATCACCTGAGTATCCCCGTATATCATCTTAAATCTCTGTTCACCGAATATGAAACAAGTATAAAATGATATTAAGAGTACTCGGCAATATTTTCGAACGCCCTAAATGGCTTATTTTATTTAGTGTGCGTATTATTATTGCATTGAATGTGTGTGTGTGTGCGTGCGTGCGTGCGTGCGCGCGCGTGCGCGTGCGCGTGCGTGTGTGCGCGTGTGCGTGCGTGTGCGTGTGTGTGTGTGTAGCATACATATCATAGCTAACTATAGATAGATAGATAGTGATGCACTTATTTGCATTATATTTATGGTGATTGAAATAAAATATTTCATGGTTGCTGATCAAGCTTCGTCAAACAAATTGTACAGCAACACCATTAGACAAAAGTAAGTATACTAAATACAAGTTATAATTTTATAACAGTAATTTTAATTTAGAACAAATAGAGGTTAATAGAGGTTATAATGCAATGGAAGGATTATATAATAAAAATAGACGATGGATATTGTATTGAATGTTAGATGCTTGTGTGCACGATAGCATTTATTAATAAAATATATATATATATATACATTAAAATTAAAAATCAAGTTTGTGTATTGCAAGACAATAAGAAAAGGTTTAACGACCAAGAAACGAGCAATAATGTAGATATAAATAATTAATACAAAGATTTATATAAATAATAATATAAAATAATATAAATAAATATCAAATATCCTTTAATGTCATATCATAAAATTATTAAACGTTTCGTACTTAAATTTACAGTCTTCGTCAGTTTGTGAGAATAATTTAAATCATTACAATTAAATATGAGTAATAGTACAAATTGTAGTCATAAAATACAGAATATAAAAAAGACAAGAAAATCGAACATCGTAAGTTTTACAAAATCAAGATTACATATGAAGAAGTGGCATAACGAATGTCTTATTTGTCTCCTCTTCGTCGTCATTTTCATACATTGTAGTTTTTAAGCATATCATTTTACAAATAACGGATTGGAATAAACATGTAATTTTATTTTCAGTTTCAACTACCTGCCACATATCAATTTTACTTGAATTGCAAGGATATTTGAACATTGGGTTCACAATTTTTAAGTTATTCCCAGTCAATGTAATATCCTCTTCCCTTCCATTTTGCGGTATGTATATTTCCTCGATATTTATTACATTTTTATTTATGAGATATACTATATTATTTGGTTTTTTACATGTCAATATAGTTTCTTTATATTTGATCTTTTTGACAGGAATTCGTCCACATGGTTCAGGAAGGCTTGTTTTCAATATAATGACATCCCGTGGCAACATTACTTTGTTTGGCTCAACATAAAGCGATTCATGCAGCCGTCGACAGAGCTGTGCGAGTGGTCGATTCCCACTTCGAAGCTTTTTTTTTCATTTTTCCTAACAGACTTTCAAATGAAAAGGCTGTATAATTATTTAAGGAACACTTCATGTTTTTGACATCATCAGCTAAATGGGTGAAACTATGAATATTTAAAATTATACTTCGTGTTCCATAATATAGTTTTGTAAGCTTAACAAAATTATTCAAATAAACTTTTGCTTGTGAATTATATTTCAGACATAAGTTATCTGAGGTCAGGATTCTACATGCAACATGAAAAAGAAGAAAATGAATATAATATTTCTTTTCCAATATTTGCTGCAAAACTACGGGACCAACATAAAGTAAAAAAAGTCTGTACTCCGTTGCCTTCCACTTGGAAATATCTGCTATCGATCTTGTTATTCGCTGAAAGTCTATTGGTATTTGTGATTGTAACTCAAATAATTTTTGTGATAACTGACGTTTTTTATTCTGACTCAGTTTGGTAGCTAGATTTCCTTCCAACCAAAAATCAATCATCATTTTCTTCATGACACCTAAGCAACCTTGGTGCATGAAATCAAGGACAAATTGGTTTATCATGTCGATTGGAGGTTGTAAATGAAGAAGTGGAGAAGTGCCGACGTGATGTTCAGAATCTTGTTGGTCTCTAAACGATTTATCGGTTCGTTTATCACAATTTGTAGAAAGATACACAGTTCGATTTTGACATCGCTGTCCAGAAACTAAGCATCGTTCACATGCGTTATATCCTCCATGGCCTTTTATACATTTTAAAAATGACTGTGCGGATCTGTCGCAAACAAAACACATAATACGAACCTTAAAGATTCGTTCTTCGATTACAATTCCTTCGCGTGTCAATTTGTTCATTTCTTTTATAAAGTCATTTAGATAACTGCTTAAATTATTCGGTTTTTCATTGCCGCAAAATACAGCCACAGGAAAAGGTTTGTATATGTCCGGATTATTGTAGACTTTACATAAAATCGGCCAAAATTGTTTCGTGCTGGACTTAAATAAAGGAAGACCATCACAATTTATCTGTAGATCAAGTCTATTTGTTTTATGTATTTCTTTATTCACACACTTTTGAAGACCTGGAGCTATTCCAAAGTATACAAATTCACTTATAATCGTGTCTTCGCTTGATCTGAATTCTTTAACTTGATAATTAGCCGATTTTGTTTTTAGAAACGTTTTGGATGTTGCTGGTAAAGTTGGAATTAATCGTCTTCTCAAAATGCGCAGCAATGAATCTAAATGACGATGTTGAATGTCAGATTGCATTGCCCATTGCCGAAGCTCCTCTATTTCATTCCATGCTTCATCGTTTTCATTATCCGTTATTTCCTCCAGTTGACTACTATTGTTGCTATCTTCACTGTCATCTTCACTAACATCTCTTGTTACTATTTCTCTATTAGCTTTGTTTCCTTCTCTTTCATTTTCAATTTCTTTATTAATGTCTCGATTATCTTCATTAACATTTTCGCTTAATATAATTACTTTGACTTGTATTACTTACATGATCGACGTAACTTTCAATATATTCTTCATTAGAACTATCGAATTCACTACTTGATGATCCATCGTCGGATTTAAAATTAAGCAAATGTCAAATTAGGACCTTTGGATGTTGATGCCACTTCATGAACATCTGAACTTGAATATTGAGTATCTGAAAATGATAGTTAATTATTTCAAATCTTAAAATTTTGTATGTACATAATTTTAAACAATATATTTATAATATTGGATTATATTTCATTTTAATTTCTTAAAATTGTGTGAAAATGCTTTATATTGTTTATCATAAAATATTATTGTATGTTATACATAAGATTAAAATATAAATTTATTAACTATTTATATCTAATACTTACATTACTATTTATTAAATTTATGATTTTTAATATTATTGATATTATAAAATTATATTTTAATTGTATACTTACCGTGCAATTCAGGTCTTGAATAAAAAGTTGTACGAGCTCGAAATCTTTTCACACGAATTCGTGTTAATAAACGTTTTTTATCACTTTTATATAATTAACACTAATGTATATAAAATGTGTAAAAGTGTCAAATACGTAAAATGTGCAAAAATAAAAACTAATAAATAAAATTAAAGTCAGTTGTAATTAATGTTAAAATCAGAGATAATTGCAGTCAGATAATAATTGAAGTATAGTACAGGCTGCAATGGATCACACGGTTCGAAGTCACAGATTAGTATAACATGAAAACTCATGTCACAAGCTGCCATCGCTCACAAGCTGTTAAAACTTGTTATTATAGGCTGTTTTTATTTTTTATGTTTTTAAGTATAGGGCATAAGCTTATGGTTCAAACATTCTGTAAATTAGAAACGATATAATAAAACAAGCAAAGAAATGTTAAAATATATTGCTCATTTTAATTATTGACTTAATCTATTTCTTTTCATTTTTAATTTATTTCTAAATATACGAACTAATACTGCAATTTTTAATTTTGTAAATTTATATAAGCTTAAATTGTTGTTTTGTCGTTTAATGTGTAAGAAATGATCAAGCCTTTATTATAATTATTAGTTTTTTACCATAATTCAAATCTCTACATATTCTAATCGAAATTTATATATATAATTAAATATATAATGTATATTCATATATATATGTATATATATATATATATATATATATATACATATATACAGGGTGTCCCATAATAACCGCACCGGACCTTGTAAGCAGGTAAACCAGATAAAACTAAACAAAAAAGTCCTCTACCATTTTGCAAAATTTTCAATCGTTAACGAAATATTAATTCTTGAAGATCGGCGAATAAACGCGTTTCCATCCGCCTACCGCTGAATGCAAGCGCGCGGCGAGATACGACCGCCCCACCGCTGGTAGTTGCTAGCCGGTAGTTGAAGAGCGGTGGGACAATCGTATCTCGCCGTGCGCCTGGATTCAACGGTATGGCGGACGGATACGCGTTTATTCGCCGATTTTCAAAAATTAATATCTCTTTAACGATTGCAAATTTTGGAAAATGGTACAGGACTTTTCTGTTTAGTTTCATCTGCTCTACCTGCCCACGAAGTCTGGTGCGGTTATTATGGGACACCCTGTATATATCGACATTATATATTATAATTCAGGTTGATCCTTAAGAAAAGTAATAAGGGCAAAGAAATCAGGTCCGCATACAAATTACCTGAAAAATGTTTGAAAAGGACGTCCCATTGTGCGCCAGATCAGGCGCGTGTCGGAAGTTCCTTATAGGGCATATTTTATTGTTTCCCGATCAGGCCCATGTAAGAATTATCTTAAAAATATTTGGAAAGGGCGTCCTGTTGTGCACCAGATCAGCTACATGTCGGGAGTTCCTTATTAGGGCGTACCTTACTCTTTCCTGATCCGGCGCTAGTCATACATCAGGCATGCCTAATCAAATTTCTGCCCGGGTACATATGTACAGGGCATAGACTTATAAGATAGACTGCGCGCCCTATTGTTCTCGGTGAGGCAG